TTATACTTATTATAAAACCCAGGTTGTGTGTGTGTGTGTGTGTGTGTGTGTGTGTGTTCGTTTATATATGGGATCGGATTTCCTACATTTTTCAACCGATTTCAACAAGACTTCACTTTTTTTTGGCCGGTAGTGTTTCTTATTGTCTTGCACACTTTTTTTCTTTATTTTTACATTCAAAATGCTTTAAAAATTCCATTTACAAGACAATTGTTTATAATAAAATTCTATTCAATCGGTAGACTCATAACGATTGAAAACAATGTTTTTGTTTAAGTTTGACCAATTCGTAAAAAAAAAACAAAACAAAAAAAAAATAAAACTAATTAAGACATGCGTGTCCGTCAACCTTAAACAATAATCTTTGGCAATTTTATTTTTCAGTCTTTATGATGGTCGATACTTGATCTATCTCTTACTGTTACATTCTCGGGCAACGCCGGGCTCTACTACTAGTATTTAATAAAAAAGATGAAGAAATTTTAGCAATATCTTTGTTATTGTCATTATTTACTTGCGTGAATGTTCATTTTGAGTGACAAGGATCATGAACATTTACTTTGTAACAGAAAATATTAATATAAAAGAAAACCAAATTAGTTTTCATTCGTGTCTTGTAAACTTCCAACAATAAATGTCTAGGAAAATAAAAAAAGAGAAAAAACACTATTTAAAATAATTGTACTGCATTTATTGAAAAAATGTTATTGTCAATACCTTAATAGTAAAAAGGGAAATTTTAATCTTACCCCGAACTTTTAATCTTACCTCGAACAATATTGTTACTACAAAACATATTTCTTCATAGCAACTAGAAGAAACTAAGCTTTCCCTCTGATAGAAAAAAAGATTCTTAAAACCTTCCCCTAGGCCTAGAGAGATTTTATCAGATTAAGTTTAGTAAAATATCATTCTACAGGCACACATATCTGTACTTATCTCTACCTCAGTGTGTGTAAATATTATGTGTTCATATATATATATATATATATATATATATATATATATATATATATATATATATATATATACATAAAACACACACACACACATACACATATATATATATTTACAAGTTTCCTTAACTTGTCGACTGACAAGGTAATAAAAAATACGACTATAATAGCCTCGCCCACGTGTTAAAAACGAAAAAATATAATAGTACCATTAATAATAAAAAAGAAAATATTGCCACAACGTGTTGATTTTTTTTTAGAAAATAAAAAAAATTCCATCATTATAGATAGACATATATAAAAATCTACAAATTCAGTAAAATGATATCCTCTCAGCAAAATTTTTTCATCAACCTTTCACCCAGCTGATACAGTACAAATAAAAAAACCAAAATTATATATATATATATATATAAAATATATATAAATTTAGAAAATAAAAAAAATGGGATATAGATAGAAATATAAAAATCAAATTCAGTAAAATCAAAAACCTTTCACCCAGCTGATACAGTACAAACAGAGGAAAATTATATATATATATATATATATATATATATATATATATATTTAGAAAATAAAAAAATTCTATCATTATAGATAGACATATATAAAAATCTACAAATTCAGTAAAATGATATCCTCTCAGCAAAATATCATCACCCTTTCACCCAGCTGATACATTACAAATAGAGGAAACCCAAAATTATATATATATATATATATATATATATATATATATATATATATATATATATATATATCCTAATGAGATCCCATAAGGATTTTATATGCCATTAAACAAAGAAATCAAAAACATCTTAAAACTTTCTTTTTTTTTTAGGAAAACGGGATTCCCAAGTTCAGTATTTTTATCACTCTTTCCAGTATTGAATGGAGTTTATTTACGAACCTTCTATTTCAGTGGTATGGAATGTTTACATCTTTATTATGTCATTATTTTCTCTTAAAGTTACATGCGATATCCATTTTTGCCATTGCTTCTGTTGGTAGTGCTCAAGTGATGTGGTTCCTCTCATTTGGTACAGTTCGTTGTGAATCTGTAGCGCCAGTCCACAATGTTCAAAGAAAGATGGTCTTTGACAAGACCCTCAGGTTTTACTCGACTTCCCTATTTTGTCTGCCATCTGACCTCAAAGATCAGCCTCAGAGCAAAAATACACTGCTACTAAAAGTAATAGACTGAAACAATTATTTAACACCATCAAAAAAAGATTCATTTATGAATTTCAATTAAATTATACTCAACAGTAGGCCGTAAGCACATTGGTAATCGTAATGTTGGCCGTTTCCCTACAAGGAAACATTTGACATTCATTGGTCGAGCAACCAGTACTGTTTTCGGTTAAAATTTATAATTTTTTTTATTAAAACTCATTTTTCGAAGAAAAAGTTTTCTCAAGTCCAGTACCTTTTATAGCTCTTTTGATGAGAGTTTCCATCCAAACATTCTATTTGAAGTGGTGTGGAATGTTTACATCTTGATTATTCCATTAATTTCTCTTCGTGTTACACGTGCTATCCATTTTAGTTGTTGCTGCTGTTGGTAGTTCTCAAGTGATGTGGTTCCTGTTATTTCGTACAGTCCTTCGCTTGCGATTTTGTAGCGCCTGTTCACGATGTTCAAAGAGGGAGGATGAAGATTAATACTAATTACCTTCATCATGCGTTCATAATCCTGATCCCGGAAAAATATTAAATGTAAATTTCTAATTTCAGAACAACTGCCCTATTCTTGATCCTATAGAAAATCTGAGAATTCTTTCTAAGCTAGTGAAATACTTTTTCCTGTGAGCATACCTACACAATAATATTCTCTGTGATATCATCTCAGCAAAATGTCAACACCCTCTCACCCAGCTGATACAGTACAGAGGAAAGCCTATCAAACGCCACTGACCCTTGGCTTTCGAACGAGGACCCAATATGTCTGTGAGCCTAGTTGTGTTCTTGACGTAATGTAAAACGTTGAACTGGGGCTTTCTAATTTTGCGAAATTATTCCAGTTTGTCTGAGATGGTGTGGCAAGACAGCTGCCCTAAAGCAGAAGATAGGTGCAAAAGATCGCGAAGCTCCCAGCAAGGGGGCATCGCGTAATGAGAGAAATCATAATGAATACGGAGTGGTCAAGGATGATTAGAAAACTCAAACAGAGACCGAGGCAAAGATAAGAACGATGCCAGCAACGCGTCGAACTTCTAGAAGAAATATAAATAAGGATTGTTAAGAATTTTAATAATATATGTTTTTATTTAGTCAAAACTACGTTTGATTTCATTTTAATTTACTTTTCATTATTTCTATTTTCTTTATCTCTCTCGTCTTGTTTATTTTATGTCAATTCTTTCGTTTACTCTCTCTCTCTTTCTATATATATATATATATATATATATATATATATATATATGTGTGTGTGTGTGTGTGTGTGTGTGTATATATATATATATATATATATATATATATATATATATATAGATAGATAGATAGATAGACAGACAAATGAATGAAATAAAATTACACTGAAATAATATATATCTATATATATATTAAAAAATATATTAACATAACATGCTGATATCGAAATACAACGACTAAAAAAAAGTGATAAAACCGAAGAGAGATCTGCAAAATTCAAGACAAATGTTATATGAAAGATACAGCACTTACAGGCTAATTACAAACCATACTTTATGCTTACAAAGAGACGGCTGGTAGGACTTAATACAAAAAGATTCTTGCATTTTCAAATGAAATTCTGAGCAAGTTTAATAAACCGGTTTACCTTTTATTTTAGTTAAGCTTAAAATAATATATTTTTTGTTTAGCATCTTGTTAGAAATTTCCTTCTGTTTTTATCGCACTAATAAAACTCTTTGCCGTCTTCTAAACGTTACCTTTCCTCATTATTCAAGATGAAGTATTAACATTAAGTCCAGATTCTAGTTAATGATTAATAATGAGTAAATAAAATAGACAAAACAGTTTCAATATCATTTCGTCGATCAAAAGTTTTATTAATATAACATGTTGTAAGCTGACTGCAGTAAGTCGTGGGTTTATTAAGGTTTAAGAGCCCAGAGAAAAAATCAGTAGAGTTCAAATTTTGGTTGAGATAGTGATTGTTAATTACGTACAATTAACATTTGATAAAGGCACGAACACTTTTCTTCACTGTGCAGCTACGCGTTAAATAGCATAGCGAATTATGGTCTCTATTCGGAAAATACATCAATCTTCACTGTAACAATGCAGAAGTGCAACATAGTAGGGTTGGTAACATATACTAATATATTATTTGTACTATATATGCTGAATGAATACTTACAGATTAGATTTCGTACATTCCTCATATAGGTTGGCATTAATGGAAAGAGACTGTCAAACTTAATTTCTAAAAGACATTAAAAGCACCAATAATGAAATTAAGATACGCTTTGGCTTTTCAAAAGACATTCTTTCTTTATTAAGAAAATAACTTCGTAGCATGTATCTGCAAAAATACGTTTGTAAGCCAAACATAACCGTTTACAAACACAAAGAAAGATGGCTACGGCGTGAAAAGATAATATATATATGTGTATACACACACGCTCAAACACAGACACACACAGACGCGCGCACACACATGCGCGCGCACACACACACATACACACACACACACACACACACACATATATATATATATATATATTACGACAAAATGCAAGTTATTATAGCAACAATCGCACAAGGTGGGTTGCTTTTGTATAGAGGTCTTGTTTGCGTATGCTATCGCTTCGTTTACATTCTTGACAAGATATTGCTTTCCCACGGTTTTCTGACCTTAGCTTATTAGAAGAGAAAAAAGAACAATAAGAAAAAAGTAAATAAAGAAAGAAAAAAAAAAAAAAAAGAAGAGAGGGAAATACAGGTAAGAAAGAAAGAAAGAAAGAAAGGAAAACGATAAAATAGAAATGAGGGAAATATATGTAAGAAGAGGAAGGAGAAGAAAAATAACGAAAAATAAAAAAAAAGTGATGGAAATTAAGGCAAGAAGAAAGTAAGAAAGAAAGAAAGAAATATAAAAATGAAGTGAGAGAAATATTGTAATGAAGAATGATAAAGAAAGATAAAAAAGAACGGAGGAAAAAAAGAAAGAAAGAAAGAAAGAAAGAAAGCAGCAGAAGAAGATGTAGTAGTAGTAGTAGTAGAAGAAGAAGAAGAAGAAATAAAGAACAACAAAAATGAGGGAAATATAGGTAAAAAGAAGAAGAAGAAAAAGAATGAAAAAGAAAAAGTGATAGAAATAAAGTCAAGAAAGAAAGAAAGAAAGAAAGAAAGAAAGGAAATATAGGCAAGAAGAAGAAGAAGTAAAGAAAGAACGGTAAAAAAGCCAGGGAAATATTGGATGGAAAAAGAATAAAGAAAGATAAAAAGAAGTGAGGAAATATACGAAAGAAGAAGAAGAAGAAGAAGAAGAAGAAGAAGAAGAAGAAGAAGAAAGAAAAGAAGAAAGAACGATAAAAATAAGGGAAATATAGGTAAAAAGAAGAAAAAGAAATAAAGAAAAATAAAATAGTGATAGAAATATGAGCAAGAAAAAGAAAGAAAGAAATATCGGCACGAAGAAGAAGAAGAAGAAGAAAAAGAAGAAAAAAGAAAGAAAGAAAGATAAAAAGTGAAGGAAATATTGGAAAGAAGAAGGATAAAGAAAGAAAACTAAAAAAAGAAGGGAGCAAATATAAGCAAGATGAAAGAAAGAAAGAAAGAAAGAAAGAAAGAAAGAAAGAAAGAAAGCCAGAACGAAAGAAATATAGGCAATAAGAAAGAAAGAAAGATAAAAAATGAAGTGAGGGAAATATTGAAAAGAAGGTTAAAGAAAGAAAGATAAAAAATAAAAAATAAAAGAAGCTTTATAGAATAAAAGAAGAAAAAAAGGAATTTTTTTGTCTGTTTCCACTTCCTGCACAATTCAGGTGTTGTTCAACGCTCCCACGATACTTGTTTTTCAGTTTTCTTTTTTAGTCCACCCAATTTTTTAACTCGTTTTAACTATACATGTTTTCTGAGTATTCCACCCTGTAATATCTGCCAATCGCTTGCTTGAGCAGTCACACGTTTAGCGATTCACTTAATTCGTATCAATGCTTTGTAAGTAAAGATTTACTGAACTAGGTTGAATGCGACGCAATATCACGTAGGTGAAATTGAGCTTAATGTGAAGACAGGTTTGCGTCACAGTTCTAAGTGAAAACTTCCTACCTGTCTTTAAAATCATTATACGAAATCCAATTTTTTTTTTATTTAAGCAATGACTGTCTTGAGTCGAAACAGGGAAACTGTCTTAATAGGCTGTAAGGACTTTTGGAGATATGTACGTAACGCCGGCATTACTTTCTTTTTAACTGCTGTATTATGGTGTATAAAACCGTCTTCTTTTGTCTTCAAAAATGACATAAACTCTATTTTCTGATTGTTATATGTAAAGTACAGTTAACTTTACCGAATAACGGAAACCACACCATCTGAGGAGTATATAGAGTAGCAACAACTAAAATGGCTATCACATGTAACTGGAAGAGAAAATAATGACATAATCAAAATGTTGACATCTCGCACTACTTAAACAAAAGATTAGGAAGGAACCCCCCCCCCATCAGTACTGGCGATAACAGTTATTGGATTTGAGAAACTTATTTTGCTGAAAAATTACCTCCTGAGAAATATTTTATAAATTTTAACCGAAAGTAGCACTGGCTGCTCGGTCCTTGAAAGCCGACTATTTCCTTATAAGGAAATGGCTATTATTACCATTACCAGTACCAATATACAGATAGTTGCTATAGACTACCAATATTTGCACTTAGGATAACTCTGTAATCCACGTTCATATAAATGCATTATGGGTGCATTAGTTTTATACATTTTTTCTGTGCGTGTAGAATTTTTCCCAAAGTACACACGTACTCTGCTAGTTACCTCAACCAACCCATGGAAAACATAATATGATGCGATACATGTATGATTTCTCTCGGGAGGTGGATAAACCCGTACACCGTCTGCTTAAAGTGCGGCCCGACTCACTTCCCAATATCTGATCAAATGGCGAGCAAACATCAGAATATTGGAATAAAAGGACTTCTTGTTCGTATTGAAACCTTTCACACACACAAACACATACGCACGCGCGGGCGCACACACACATATATACATATATTGGGGAAAAAAGTATGACAAATTTGAAAAGTTTACTTGTGTCGCGTTTAGTCCTTCAGGACTTCATCGGCTAAATTGGAAAAAAAAGATTCTATATGAAATCGCTTTATATATATATATATATATATATATATATATGTGTGTGTGTGTGTCTGTGTGTGTGTGTGTGTGTGTGTGTGTGTGTGTATGTGTAAAAGAAATATTCTAAACTCTGCAGCATCCTTCGTTCGTGCGCATGCGTACTGTACCAACATAACAAATTTAGTCCGATGAGGTCCTGAAAGACGAAACGCGTCACAACTTTTTCCACTTTGTCATTCATTTTCACAATATTATTTGTGATATATAAGAATATATAATATATATATATATATATATATATATATATATATATATATATATATATATAATCAACTGCGACTTAGTCTTGAGTTCGAACCTCACTGAGTGCCCCTAAATGATATTAACTCTATATTTTTTCATATATATATATGATATTAACTCTATATTTGATCATATATATATATATATATATATATATATATATATATATATATATATAGGCAAGGAAATTTCACTTATGCAGGTTTGTTTAAAAATAATGTATGTTCCTTTTTAATTTATTTTTCTTCCTGTATTTTTTCTGTTTTTGGTGACAGTTTGTACAAAATAATAATAAAAATTCCAACGTCGCATATTGGTTACATAATCACTACATTATCGCCTCGGTTTCATTGTAATTTTTCCCGATAATATATCATCTTTAAAATTATTTCAATTACTAGATTTCAATTAAATTGAATATCACCAATTAGCTCTCTCTCTGTCTCTCTCTCTCACACACACACACGCTCAAGCATAACACGAAATCCGTTAAACAAATACTATACCATATAAACTGTAAAAACGGGTTTACAAATATTAGAAGCTTTAACTATAAAAAATAAAATGATATTGAATATCAGTAAGTTTTTTGTTCAATTTAAGAAAAACATCCTAAAAGCTGGAAACAATGCCAAGACAGCAAAAACTGAAACGTGATGACAACCTCAAAACCACCCAAGAAGCACAATCCTGCCCTATAGACACACCATTATTACAAAGATAATTACAAGCCGAAAATCTCTCAAAAGCCAATTTATGCACAGTTCATGTTCAAACTCAGCCCAGAAACAAGAAAAATAGTACGATCTAAAGAAAAAAAAAACTAAAATGCAGAATGTTTTATTGGCAAAATTTTGCTAAAATGATGTAAAGATAATATAGTTTTCCATACAATTTTATGTGTTTCTCTGATGGTGGTGCCTTTTCTCTGCCGTTTGCAGTTCAAACTCACGCGAAATCCTGTCTTTTGAAAGCTGATTTTAAAGAGAATATCGTCCATCTGGAAAACTGGCGCAATCTTACTTTCAGCTATGATTTCATTGCTCCTGGCGAAATCTAAACTTGGTCAATAGATAGTTTTAAACACACACATACATACACAACATTCTCTGTAAGTCTCATCTTTTTTTTCTTCAAATACATTATTTGAGCACAATACCTCCAAAGGATTTTGAAGCCTGACCTGAGCAGTTATGTCGGAAAACAAATGTATCTACGTAACATTAAAATAATGGTAACTGTGTTTAATGATATTAATTTTCTGGTCAATTTTCCAAATTTTGTTCAACTTTATTCATGACATATATATCTCCAAAAATAACAAGACAGAAAAAAACATTCAAATATATCTGCTAAATTCCTTGCAAGAGACTCGAAGTTTCCTTGAAAAACCCGACTGAACAACTATTGCAATCCGACAAAGGGAAATTATAGAAATCTTTGACGTAAACACGATAAATTCAAAAGCGTTTGATACCAGCAACTACAAGCACCTACTTAAAGTATTCGATGTAATAATTATTCGAAGCTATTATGGCTTCAAATCTGGCGAAATCGTCATGAAACTGCACACTGAAACATTTAGGGACGTGAATTCAACTGGATGGATGGGTTTATCTGTATAGCCTGTTAAGTTAAGTTGTCAGGTGTATTGGTTACGTTTGGGCCGGGAACCAGTAGTGATATTAGCTGGACTCTAGGTGTTGCATGATAACGCTAACATAGTTTCTCCTGCTTACATTGAATTTCTAAAAGCCAAGATTCAGAAAAGGCTTAAAAATTTCTTAGTGATATTCAGACGAAAATTTCTTCTTATGCACGACAACACTCCAGTGTACACTGCTCGTGAAATTAATATTTAAGTAAATTAGGGTTTAAAAACGACAGGCTTAGTCTGTGTCTACCATGTTCATTGCATCTAAAAACATTTAGAACACTGTACAAATCAGAGTGGCAATGATTTTCTATCTAACAATGAAGACTCGGAAGTAATATTAACTGTTTTCAGAAAATCATTTTCAAATTGTCGAATGAATTTTGGTTATGAAAGCTTTAAAGAGAATGGAAATTAAAACGGGAACTAAAGTTGTTTTTCCAGTTGTTCCGAATAATAATAATAATAATAATAATAATAATAATAATAAAAGTCTGAAACTGAAGGCTTTATTCTTGCAGCGCAAGACCAGAGTCTTTCACTAGGAATTTTCAGGCAAATATCATTAATAATGTGGATCCAAAATGCAGGTTCTGTGACAAATACCAAGAAACAATAGACCATCTAATCTCAGGATGTTCTATACTTGCCCCAAATGAATATAAAAATCGTCACGATAGAGTGGGGCAATACTTACACTGGACAATGTGCAAACACTTTGGAAAATGTGTAAGCAAACACTGGTATGAACATCGGCCAGCGCCGGTTACAGAAATAGAAGATGTCACCA